TAGTTCTTCAGAATGTTAAGGGGGTTACTTGGGGAAAAAAAATGGTCTTGTGTATAAGTCTGCAAAATAATTAGAGTTAACAAATGGATGATAGTTTTCTACAGTGCAAGACTTCTCGGTGTTTATCTCCAATAAGAGAACAGAGTATTTTTTTTACATTTCTGACCAAATAATTTCCTTTCATGGAGCTGTTTTTCAATGCATATACTAATTTTCCAAAGGAGGCAGTCCATATGTGCTCAGCTCTAGTGATTATCAGCTAAGATCTTAATTTAAAAACTGCTCCATTACTCAGTAGTCATGAGATAATAGGCAAGTCTTCTCACTGTGTAGGACCTCAAATTCCTCATATAAAGAATGGGAGGATTGTTGCTTCAACTTGCAGTATTTTGTGACAATTAGAAAGGTTAGACTAGTAATACATATGAAAAGTAAAGTTCTGTAAGGTGGCAGAACATAACAGGTGGGTAATAAATGAACCATTTTGGGGAACTACTCTGTTTTGAACCTTTTTGCCAGTCTCTTACTTTGTGCTTCATGTCATCTTCCTTCCTTCCTCTTCTTTGCCCTCTTCTCTGTTCAGTTCCTCCTCCTCCTATGACCATTACCACCATGACTACTACTAGGTACTAACATTTCAGGCACTATGCACTGCATTATCTAACAAACACTTGGGGCGCCCTTTTCTCTTTCCGTTTCCATGATAGAGGCGGAAGAGGCTAAATGTCACTTGCCTACATTCTCTTGTATTAGACAGTTTTGGCTCAGTGAGACAAAAGGGCAATTCTTATGGGACTTGGAAAAAACTTTTGTTTTCCCTAATGAAATGATGTAATGTGTGGAGCCATGACAATTGTATTGTAACCATTAGTGAAAGGCCTAGAGAATGGCAGGAATGTTTGCCTTTGCATCACTGAACTAACACCTGAAGCAATCTCCTTCCAAAATTTTGTTTAACATAAGGAAAATGAACCCCAAAGAGTATAAGTGTTTGAAAATAGGCTTTCTGTTACTTGCAGACACAATTCTAAAAGGTTAGGTGGCATTTACTGAATACTTTCTATGTGCTGGTACTAAATACTTAATGCATATTACCTTATTGACTACTCAGAATAGGAATTATTATCTACCATTTTATAGTTGAGAAAACAGACTAAAGTGCCTTATTCAAATTCATAGCTGAATTGAAACCCACGTGTGGTTTCAAAGCAGGAACTGTCAACTAGTATGCTGCCTTTGCATTTTCCATCTCTGTATAGACACCATTCCAGGAGCCTGTACTAACTTTGGGAGACATAGTTACTATAACCTTAGATATTGTTATGTTCTTTTTTTTTTTGAGGTACACAGTATCCCCTTTAAGATGGAGAGCGCTTGCCATCTGCCATTCCATGTGGAAGGGACACACATAGACCCTACCCAGAAACAGAGGGCATACCCAGTCTGAGATTATAGTAGCCTATTTCTTCACACACCAGATGGGGGACAGCAGAGCAGAGCTGGGCCCAGCAGGGTGGATGCTTCTCCCCAATTACCTACATCCAGAGACTTAATTTACCTATTTAAGCCCACCTGACATCCCAAGAGGTGAGCCCAATGGTGTATTAAGATTTTCAAGTCTGAGAAGCACAACTTGTGGAAGTGATTCAGAATAAAATGTAAAAATATTAAAAACATCTGAATTTATTTATTTCCCATTATTTAAGCTGTAGTGTGGCAGACAATGTGATATACAGTGACTTTTATACAACTAATTATCAAATGAGAGATGAATCCCTACATAAGTCACTATATGCTCCAATGTAATAAATATGCGAACCATCTTGATTTTGTATGACAGAGAATAAATATTTAGTTTTGGAACTCATGGAAGCCCTAGAGGAAAGGAATTGTAGTTTGTGTTTCTTTCTAAGGACTGTGACTTAGAAAAAAAAGAGCCAGTATCAGATGCATGTGATGCAAGAGCATTACAGCTTGACTTGCCCCCTTTTCTTCTCCATATCAAAAGCAGGTCCTAGCTTGTATATTTTGATTGACGGCAAAAAAAGAAGTCTCTATATAATCAGACTGTAGCCTGTCTCAGCTATAATCACATAGACAGATCAAGATTTGCCAAGATTGCAGGAAGAAGACCAAACACTTGCCAAAGTTCTATCCTTACCCTCTTTGGGATTCTAACATCCACATGCACAGATTGCAAAATCGAGCAAAAAAAAAAAAAAAAACCAAAACCAAAACCAAAACAAACAAAAAAACACTATATAGCCCTGTAGGAAAAACAAGTTAAAACACTGCAACAAAAATCTTTAGAATTCTGTTTTCTATTGATTGGCACTGTCAGTAAAATGCGTTGCTTTTGTTTGCCCCTTTGTTTATTAAATTAGGAATGAAATAGTTGAAAATATTAATTGAATGTTACTAGGGAAATAGTATAACTATGGCAAAGCACAAGATCAGTGATCCAAGTCTAGAGTAGAACCTGATGACCACATGAGTGAGAGAGATATCTGTAATACAGGGCACTGTGGTCTCAGTCTTATAAAAGTTAATAGGATAACTGGGGAGCAAGAGTGTGCACATTTGAAGACAAGCAAAAAAAAAAAATACCTACCACATAGCTACCTTCCCAAATTCATTCAACAAACATACCAGAAATCATTATTGAGCATCTTCTATGTGCCAAGCACCCTTCAGGTTACAGGTAGGTATTGGAGACACTGTGAATAGCAGGGCTCCACCCCTAAGGAGCTTGCTCTGCTTAAAGTGGAACAAAGGATGTACCATACAGAACAGCAAGGAGCTGGACAACATCAAGATGGAGATGCCCTGGAAAACCCAGACTGTATAATCAATATCTCCATAGATTTCTTCTGTCATTTATAATGCTCTCTTTGTTATTAAGATCATCCAGATTGTGTATCCGATACAGTAACTTTCAGGAGTAAAAGAAGACTGACAGTGGTTAACTTGGTTAATCAAAATAGCAGATAGTTAAGAAGTGGTTACTATGCGGCAGACACTACACACATGTTAACCCATTCAGTTCTCACAGTCTATGAACTACGCATTCCATCATCTCCATTTTTTAGAGGAACAAGGCATAGAGAGGTTACATTAATTTGCTTAAGGTTCCACAGCTGGTAAGTGATGCTGCCAGTATTTAATCCCAGTGTTCTCTAGCATTTGTACTGTGCTATTTTTAGAAAAGTGCCTACTATGTGCCAGCCTTTACACGTATCATCCCTTTCACTTTTTACAATCCAGTTTGTCAGATGGTAGAAATAAGGTGCAGAGAGATGAAGCAGCTGTGCTGTTGTTCAAACTGAAACAATCCGACTCCGCAGCCCGTGCTCTCTGCCACCACTCCATGCTCCCTAAGGAGCTTTCTTTAGTGAGTTTTTAGGTGCTTAGACATAGACTCACAATTCCCTCCCTCCCTCCCTCAACGTGCTTGTTTTATATACTGGGCTTTCCTGGGAGATTTTGTTTACAGATAGGACTTGAAGAAAAGCTGATAAAACAAAAGTCTGAAAAATAAATTTTCTTAGCCAAAAGGAAAGGCTGATATTGCAGAAATTTCAGAAAAAGAATGTTTCATAGAGGAGTCACGAAGGCAGATGGAAAATAGGCCAGCAGGTTAGATATATGAAAGGCCTGCTGTGTACAGACCGTGCCATTGCCAGGATTTATTGAAGAAGACAGGAATTACAGTTTAATTGAATGTCTTATACGATGTATGTAAAAAGAGATGAGAAGTGTAAAGGAAGTGGAAAAGAATTGAAAGAGGTAAGAGTACAAGTTAATAATGTAAACGAATTGGACCTTGTGGGTAACATTCAACTATCCTCTGAGTTATTGTCAAACCTCGGCAGACACAGTATCTTCACCATCATACTAAGTCATGCTTTGAAGATTTAACGCTGACAGAAAAGTAGGACTTTCATGCAGGCTAAGAGATGGTATAGGAGAATAGTTCAAGTAATGTTATTTAGATATGCAGCTTCCATTTGAAAGATACCTATCTTCCAGTTATTTATCTAGCTGTAAAAAATACTGTTAAATTTCAGTAGAGTTAGCAGCGCTGATGTCTTGATCAGCCCTTTTGATGTGTACTTCTTAAATAAAGGCGGTCCTTAGTCCCAATTATCATCAATCCAGGTAGCCTTTTTGGTGCTTCAACATTTCTTCCCGAGCCACTGATATCATCTTGTCTTCTGAAGTGCTTTGGGATCATTTATCATGTAAAGCAGTTCCTTACCTGGGAGGAAATCACTGGCTTTTGGATCTAGATTCTTTTCAGATTGAAATGATCGAATAACTACTACCTGTGACAATTGAACTTAGGGTGGCATGAGACTATAGGCAACAGAGAACTGGGAAACTGACTGGTTATTTAGGAAAATTATATATGCAAAGTCAGTTTGTTGTTTTGTCCTTTTCAGCTGCTTAGACATCTCCCAAAGATTCCATCTTGCCCATTAAGAGCTAAAATATAAATCCTACATTCTTGTGCCTCAGTGAGATGGGCATTTAAGCACTCTCCTGGCTTGAATAAGGTTTAGGCAAGTGCAGTCTGGTGTGTAGCATTCTTGGCATTCTGCTCTCAGTAGAATCTTTGTTAGTAATATATTTTTTAAACCTGTTCTGGTGAACTAGAATTTACCTCACAGTGTAACCCTGTCCCCTCAGGACTTGAGGGTCCTTGCCTTGGCTTTGTGACCTAACTCTGTTCTGTCTACCTCTCAGCCTCACTCCCCATATACTGTGACTCTGCTTTATTAGAGATTTTATCTTCCATGTTTCTAGACTTGCCCTAAGTAATTGGGCCCACATTCCCTTAACCCTATAAATACCATTCGATGAGAAGGTCCATTCCCTAAAGGACACTGCCTCCCATGGTTTTATTTACTCAGATTTCTCCCATTTAAAAGACCCAAGAAACACACGCCTCTGCATCAGCTATAGGGGCCAGCACCCCTCTAAGCCCCCACTACTTTTACCTTAAGGTTTCCCCAGAGGATCCCCTTCTCTTCCACAGGTTGACTAGGCTGCTGGATCTGCTGGCTGCGGAGGATGACTTGCCATCCCCTACATGCATGCGCACCACGGTGGATGTGGTGAAGGCGCTGCGCACATTTCTTTCTGGTTTGGCCAGGATGATGTATACCTTCGGCACAAACATGCAGCCTAAAGCCACTGTGGCACTGAGGCTAACCGAGAAACACATGGTGATGATTTTGTAGTTGCTGCCAAAGTAGATTGGCACAAAAGCCAGCCATATAATGCAGGTTGTGTACATTGTGAAAGCGATATACTTGGCCTCGTTGAAGTTAGCTGGAACATTTCTGGTCTTGAACGCATAGAAGGTGCAGCTCAAAATCAACAATCCATTGTATCCAAGTGGAGTGACAACTCCGAGGTTGGTGGTGTTACAGATCAGGTAGACCTCCCGAATGCTTGGATAGTCATGCATTATATCAGGAGGCTCCATTATAAAGAGGGCAATGATGATGCCCAACTGGATGCATATGAGAATGAAAGCAATCACTAGCTGGGCACAGGCACTCATGAATCTAGGCTTTTTGGTACAGATCTTCTTCTTGCTGCCAGCCAGGATCCTTGCAATACGGTTGGTCTTTGTTACAAGGGCTGAGTAGCTCATGGCTGGGGAGAGACCAATGCCAATTCTCTGAAGGTAGCAGTAAATCTGTTTGGGCTTTGCAATGAGGCAGAAGGTACATAAGTAGCCTAGGCAGATACCAGCGAGGATAATGTAGCAGAGTTCCCTGCTTGAGGACTTGACTACTGGTGTATCCCGGTAAATGATGAAGACTGCAGTAACAAACAGAGTGGCCAGGAGGCCAAGGCAGGCAAACACCACAGCTGCAATGGGTTCAGGGTCACCCCATCGAAGATATTGTACTGGGATCAAATCACAACCTGCAGAGACACAAACACATATGGTAAAGGAGGGAGAGATGTTGACTTGGGTCACATATCCTTAAGTTACAAGCAGCTGTTTATGACCATTTCAGTTTGTCTCCTATTTGGCTTTCTAATTTCAGAATCTCATGCTATTCATTGTTTCATGTGTTCATTCAGAAAATTTTTATGATGATATTACTGAACACATACACGATCTATGATAGGAACTGTTCTAGGCTCTGAAACACAATAATGAAGAACATGTTTCCAGCCCTCATATAAAATTAATCAGGGGCCTTTAAACAATTGGTCATGAGCAAGTATAACATGGATTCTCATCATTCTGTGGAAGCAGCAAAGGCCTCCTACAATAGGAATTAGCAAATAAATATGTGGGTTTGATGGAGTTGGGGATTTCATGGGCTTGGCAAACATGTTAACTGTAAGGAAGAGAGGCATGAAAGTAAACCACCATATGATAGTGTAACAAGTGGCTTAAGATGAGGCTGGGAGGTAGGCAGGGGGCTGATTTTGCAGGTCAGAGACTCCAAGATCAGTGGGGAGTTACTCTAAGGATCTATGTCGAGCAATGCCAGGATCAGATGTGTGTGTGTGTGTGTGTGTGTGTGTGTGTGTGTGTGTGTGTGTGTAACATTTCTTTGGTTGCTGTGTGGGTTTTGGATGAGATAAAGGTGTGGACACATTTAAGACTTATTTTAGAGCCATACAGAGTGTTTGAATGGATGTGGGAAGGTGTGAAAAGTGAAAAAGGTATAAATATGACCAACACTAGTAAAGAAGAATTGGAATTTTCAGAGAATCTTGTGGTTTAGATGTTACAGAAGATTCTGTTAAAAAAGGAAGACGTTCATTTTTATAAGAAAACTGACCCCAAAGGCAAGCAATTGGCAGGCAAGGGAAGTGTATCACTCAAAATAATTCCTTACTTATGGCATGCAGTTTTTAAAATATGTCTTAATGATATAGCATAAAAAGGTGACAGAATATAGCATCATTTGGGTTATCTGTGTTCTTTTACAATTTTTATAGGACAGTGGTTCTCAAAGCTGGTTACACACTAGAACTACCAAGACTATCTATACACACACACACACACACACACATATATACCTATATATGTGTATATACAGACACACACAAATATATATATATATATATATATATATATATACACATATACACAACTGTGTGTGTGTGTGTGTGTGTGTGTGTGTCTGTGTGTGTGTGCATATGTATCTGAAATCCTGAGACCTGGGTGTCCCATTGGTTGAGCTTCTGACTTAATTGGTCTGAGTGTGACCTGGGCATCAGGATTTTTTTTGACAATATTGCAAGTGCTTCTAATATGCAAGCAAAGCTGAGAACCATTGTTCTAGAAGGAACAATCCTGTCAGTTAAACTTTTAAAGAAAACAGAATTGAGGCAGCTTCACTGAGTAAGTAGGGAAGGAGGCAAGTAATCTGGAGTATTGGAAATGTGAGGAATATGGCGGAAATGACTAATTGCATGTCAGTATCTATTTTGCCCTCTATTCGCAGCAACAGATATCTAATTTCATTTGAGATGGTAAAGGCATCAGTTAAAACACTGCATTTTTCATCAACAATTGCCGTGAAATGTGGCATATGAGTAGGTTTTGCCCAATAACATGCTAACAGAGGATTCGTAAAAGGAAAATAAACTCATGGTAGAAGGAAACTTTTTCCCTTCTTTACTTTCTTCTGCTGCTGCCCTTAATATAAACATGATGGCTGGAACTTCAGCAGTTGTTTTGGGCTTAAGGCAACTTGAAGGACAGAAAATGTGTTTTGGGTTTGGAAGAGAAAAATAGAGGGGGCTCCACTCCCCACTACCTGTGAAGTATGCAGATCAACTCTTCTTTGTTTAAGCTTCCTTTACGTATTTATTTTCTTGATATGTGCAGGCAAATCAAATCCTTATTGAGAAGGGGTAAAGTTTTCCTATTAACTTATCATATCCCATGATCAAGAGTGTTGCAGTCAGTGGCTTTGAATATCAATGGTTACTGGGAGGTAGGGGAGGCAACAAGTAATGACAGCAAGGAAGCATGTAGTTCTTCCAAAATATGTCAGACGGTAGCTTTGCTGTAAAAGGGAAGGGAAGAGGGAAGGAACTGGAAGAAGGAAAGGGAAATGAAAGGGAAAGGGAAAAAAAGAAGGGAAGAGAAGAGGATAGAAGGGGAAGGGAAAGGGGAAGGGAATGGAATTCTTCTTCCTCTTATTTCTGCCCTGCTGCTGTTTTGCTTTAAGATCTCAGATTTCTTATAGTATTATTAGTACTATAATTAAAGTCATAATAGGTTCAATAGGAGTTATGAGCTAGCCTGGGATTCTCAGCACACCTTGCAAAATTGTTTCTATGGGAAAATACATTCTTACTCTAAATAATTGTACATTTAATATTGAAACAAATTACTTTTAATTTTAGAGATTGTGGATAGTTCAGACTAAATACAACTAAATAGAAAACACTTATGTTATATAACCTCATTAAGTATAAAAATACATATCTCATTGCTCATTAATATACCCGTATCCATATTTCTAGTCACCTATGTTCCCATGTGCTTCCCATAGAGGTTGGATTTCAATTTCTGATACTTTAGTATGCCATAGAATTTAGGCTTATATATACACAATTGCTCCTTGGAGAGACTGTTTTACAAAATAAAGTATTAATCATTCATACACACACACACACACACACACACACACAC